CGAGTAAGTGCAGAACCAGGATCTGAATGAGGGGTTTGCCTTGACCCCAAATTTCCACCACACCAGAGAGTTGCAATCTTTTTTATTTTTCGTCATAACACCAATATATAAAATGCTCTGGTTGAAAGAATGGGGGGAGGGGCCTTGAAGTTCTGCCCATGGGCCCTCCCACCTCTACCTACAGCCATCCCTGAGGCTCCACCCACAACTTGGGGCCCCACACCTTACCCTTTGGAAACCTCTGTGGGCTCTGGGTGGACCAGGGCCCTCCCAGATCATTAGATGTGCAGAAAAACACTCCGGGAAGCCTTGGAGCTGCACCTGCCAGGGCAGGATTTGCTCAGGGCCCCGGAAATGCATACAAAACCATTCCCAGAGCCACATTCCCACTGCAGGCACCCCAGCTGGCTCCCCAGGAAGGGGCCCTCCAGCTGCCCCGAACTGTTTGCTCCTCAAGCATTACTCCCAACTCGTTACACACCCTTCCCTCTATGACCAGTGCCTGCCTTCCCACTGCCCCCACTGGAACCGCCGCACAGGACGGAAGCCGCCTGAACAGGGGTAGAATAAGAAGTCTAGGGGCTCTTCCCCTAATCGCTCAGAGGCCGCAACCCCAACCAAGCTGGATGCTGACAAACCAGGAGGGTGAGACAGCGTCTTGCCTCCCTTCATATCCTCATCCCATGCGCTGCTGCTTCTCCACCTACTGACCACAGCCTAAGCACTACCTCCCTCCATTCGGAGGGTACACTCACCAGAGGCTAATGTTGGCCCTGGGTTCCCAGAGCTGATGTACCCTCTTCTTCCTGCAGCACAGGAGGGACAACCCACATGCCACGTTTGGTCTGCCTTAGGGTGTCACCCATCCTCCCACCCCACCCCAATTGCCACCAGCCTTGCCAGATGAAGAACTCAGTGCTGAGCCCCCATAGTCCTAAAACTCAGAGGCAAGAGAGAAGCACCACAAAAAACCCCAGCCCTTCTCCCCACTCCTGCCCCACCCCTATTTCATGCAAGGAAAAAGCCACTGCCTGCTTGCTACTGAGGCCAAGATCAAGATGCTACTTACAGAGGGTGAGGCTCTCGGCCTGCCTAGGTGAGCATGCAAATGTATATGCAAATTATATGTAAATCCAGGGCCTGCCCTTGGGTTCCTGGCATCCGGCCATCTCTGCTGCCTGTGGCTCACCCATTCAGGCACCTGGGTGCCAGCTAGACTCTACTGGGCTAGGGGCTGAGAAAGCACTGTGGGAGCTGGGGGCTCTTCCTCTTGACTGCTTCAAATGTCCCCAAAAAACACCTCCTCCAGAGCACGTGGGAGGGAAGAATCTCCCAGCCTGGTATCTGCACCCCCAAGAAAAAGCTCTCTTAACAGCCACCCACCCTTCCTTCAACTCATCCACAAACAAAATCATCCTTCACCAGGCCGGGCAGGGGACCAAGCAAGTGGCAGGGATGGAATTTCTGAAGACACGGAGAAGGTATGTGAGGTTTGAGGTCTGCATCCCTCTGTCAAAGGCCAACAGCCCATGAGGTGCTCAGGGTAGAACCCCACCCTGTGTCTGGGGTCCCCCAACCTGCCTTTTTGGGGGCTTGCTTCTTTAGCCAAGCATCCCTGAGCCAAACCCTCTGTTTGCCTGCCCACCTCCTCCCCATTCCTCAATCTAAGAAAAATAAGCCTCTCCAACCAGTCTCCTGGGATCTGTTCAACTCAAGCGCTGCCTTTGGGTCAACTGTTTACTTGCTTTTCGTTTCTAATTGAGCTCCCCATTCTGCTGCAGAAATACATTACAGACAGATGACTTTGGTGCCCAGAAACGTGAAGCATCTGAACGGTTTGCCGGGCATCATGGCAATTCCATTCTCCCCCGAGTTATTCTGGCAGCCAAGGTCTCTCTGCCTACGTACCCCCTCCCCGATGCTCACCGTCCTTCACCCGCTTCCCCGAAGTTGCATTTGCCATTTCAAGGTTTTAAAAACAGTGCTCCCCCCACCCCAGTTTAATTAGACACCGAACAGAGTGTTAGAGCTTTTCTTAATGGCATGACGAAGGCTTTTAATTTGGTCTTCTCAAGAGAAGAACCAGGAGTCCCCATCCAAGAGGTTTGGGTGGGAAATGAAAAAAATCAATCCAACCCATTATTTTGGCTTTTAGAAAAACAGGAATTTTAGTGCTGGGGAAGCTTGTTCTTCTACACAGTAAAAATGCAAATGCAGGCAACACAGATGCTGGCACGCTGGATACAACAACGGGGAGAGCCTCGCTGGGGTTCATCTGGCTGCCCAAACCTAGATTTGTTTTGGCAATAATAAGGCAGTTACTGGAGACTCGATAACCGATTATTAAAACACCTTCCCAGTTCAGTTCTGGGGAATCGGTCTGAGCTCAGGCTTCGTCAAAAAAAGGCATTTGGAGAGGAATGGAAATAACAGAAGCTTAAAACACATTCAATAACTGCTTAATTCCATCCAGAGGACGCTCCATCTCATCTTGTTTTCTTCTCCTCTCTCTCTCTGCCTCCTCCCGCTCCTCACAGATGGACGTACAAATTATTGCAAGAGGATATTGTTTTCTGTAACAGGCTCGAACATTCACATTTACATTTTCCTTGGTGCCGCGGGGGTGACTGGCAACGAGAAAAATACACCAAACCCCATCTTCCCTGCTCTCGCCGCATCACATCTCCCACAGCCGCCTCCAGCACCCCCGCCCCCATGCCACCCCAAGCAGAACAGGCCCCAGGGATCAGCCTGGCACCTAAGACCCAATTAAGGCACGAAGGAAAAGAAAGGCCTGTCTGGCGAGTCGCCCTGGAGCCCAACACAGATGCTGGAGCATCTGAATGGCAGGGGTGCCCGGGCTCTGCAGACCAAAAGGCCACTGAGGGGCCACCTCACCTGGCACCTCCGGTCTACCCAAAGGCCCAGGGCCAGTGGCAACTTCCTTCTCAAGTTGGAAAGGGCTTTGGCCCTCAGGCTGTCCCATCGCCTTCTGAGCCTTTCTCTGCCTTTCTACACCGCCACCCCCATCTGCTCCCTCCCTATCACATAGCTTGGGCTTCATTTATTAATGCCCAGCTTCTGGAAGGGGGAGGGGAGCATCCTTCAGGTATTGCTAAGGGACCTCCACTCCTGGGGCTGGGCTGCTCTGGAAGAGGTCTCCAGATGGGGGAGGGGGGGCGGGGAGGAGGGGTTGAGGACAAAGCTGGGCAAGAGTGTGGCAGCAGCTCTGGCCCGTGCATTCTCGCCTGACAAAATGGAAAAGGGCTAGGGGCTGGAGAGAGAACTAGCGAGGAAGAAAGCTGCCGCTCCTCACCTTATGTATTTTTAATATTAATGTAATTAAAGCTGCGAGCCGAGCCAGCCTGCGGGGGCGGAGGGAGGCAGGAAGAGCCTGGGGAGGGGGAGACTGGGGGTGGGGGGCGGGGGGCTTGAACGGGAGACAGGCTTCTTGCTCAGCTAAAGTGGGACGAGAGGGTGCTGTACGGGGCACAAGGGGTTAACCAGCCCAGCTAGACCAGCCGTGGTGTGTCACCCAGTGGACCCCACTGGGTCTGAGAAACTCAACTACTTTGTCCACGATTCAGGGGCCACCCCTCGCCCTGCACCCCTTCTCTAGGCAAACCCCAGCAGCATCTTGGCCTTCAGCCTGCCTTTGACAGGGCGGTATTTACAAATAAATAAGGGTCACCCTCCCTCCCCAAGCCAGGAGACACTGCGGTCGGTCACCTCGGGCTGGTTGCAGACTCCAGACCCGGGGACATCGGCAAGGAAAGACTAGACCCCTCCTGGAGCGCCAACCCTCTGCTGGACTGCCCTTCCCCCATCGCCTAGGGGTCAAGAGTTGCAGCTTGGCCAGGGCAACCGCCTGGGCTAAGGGGGGAGAAGCCACCCTTAGGACGAGAAGGAGAAAAGTTAGAGGGCTGAACAGGTAAAGCTGAGCTGGTACGAGCGTGTGTGCTCCGCCGCGCAAGGGCGCGGAGTTCGGCAGCCTCATCTCCCGCCATCTGCGCGCCCGGGGGCACGTCCTCTGCGATAGCCTGGAAGCCCGACAGCCAGGGACTGCCTGGTCCCGACTCGCTGCCCAGGTGACTCTGGCCGGAAATGACTGCCCCCTTCCAACCCCCAGTCGCGGCTACCTCGGATCAGGTGCGCAGCGCCCCAGCAGCAGGTCTGGACATGCCGGACACCTGGACCCACCCCTAGCAACGCCTTCTCTCTGGGGAAAGCGACACGCCCCCCCCCCCGACCCCAAACCTAAGACTTATCCCCATGTCCGGCTGACCAGGCGCCGAAGCGGAGAATCTCGCACCTTGGGGCGCACTGCCCGAGGTGGCCAAGGCGGCGCAGCGAAGCCGGGGCTAGTGCCCCGGGCAGGAGGGTGAGGTGGGGCTGGGGGAAGGCGACCTCTGGGTTTGGAGAACAAACTTGCTATTCGAGGGACCCCAGCACTCGGGACCCCCAGCTATCCCCGCTCTGGATCCAGCCAAGGCACGGATAAGCGCCATGCGGTGCGGTGCAGGGGGTCTGGGGCGGCGGAGGGGCGCACGGTGGCAGAGGAGGAGTAAGCCGCGGAGTCCGAGGCCCGATTAAGCGAGGACTCCCAGGTGAACAGTCACGGCCCGAAGACCCCTCTACTCGGAGGGCACCCCGGGGTCCCAGCGCCACCAAGACGCAGGAAGCTGGGAAGGGGCTGGGGGAGGGGTCCGGGGCAGAACTGCTGCCCAGCAAGGAGCGGGGAGATGAGGGGCTCATTCACCACCACCCTACGGGCGCGCCCCAAAACGCCAGGCGCCGGTGGCTGGTAGAGCGGTCCAGGGCGGACTCTCACCTGGCCCCTCTCCCGGTGCTTGTCCCGCCCCCGCTGCGCCCCACCCGGGGCCATGCACCAGGGTCGGTCCCCTGGACACCTGGAGCCCGCCGGGCACCCCGCCTCGCCGCCAGTCGCGCGCACCCGGGCCCCACCGCCTCCGCCGCCCTGCCGCCGGCACGGGTCTCACCTTTGTGTAAAGAGTCCAGGAGCAGGAGGAAAGTTACCAGCCACATGCCATAAAGAGGCCCTATTCTCCGGGGAGGTGGTCCTGTGGCCGGCCGTGCGGCAGCGCCTCTCCCCCGCTCAGCGCGCTCGCAGCCGCCCGCACTCCGCGCCCCGCTCTCTCTGCTCCTCAGCCCAGCGCTCGGCGGCGGCGGCTCCTCCCTCCTCGGCTCCCTGGCTCCTGTCATCCGCGGGGCTGGGCTAGGCGGCCGCTCTCCCCGCCCCCCCGCGGCACCCCGGGTGGTGAGCGCCGCGCGAGGCCCGAGCCCGGAAGGCCCCCAGCCCCACTAGCCCAGGCACAGGGGCGGGGACCCGGACCGCACGGCCCTGACCTGGGTTCGCCGTCTGAGAGGCGAGGGTCCCTGCCACCCACAGGCTCGGAGCCTGTGGTCTCATACAGGCATGTGTCATACGTGTGCCAAGAGCCCGCCGTCCTCGGGCCAAGGACGCCCCGTGTCTCCTGGCCCGGTCACCTGGAGCCAATGCTTCCTGACTCTTTCAGACTCAGTTTACCCGCTTGGATGGGGGAGCATCGATGCTCTGAGTAAAATCCACACTAAGATCCTTTGGTGCCGCTCTGGGCTACTCCCCACCTCAAAGCGCAAAGCCACATGCCCTTCCAGCCGCTGGTCACTTGTGTGCCACCCCCTCTCCCACCCCCTCCCCCGGGAGCCCCAGACGGGTCCAGCCTCCCCCAGCACCCTATGGGGATTTTCCTCAGCACTTGGCGCATTGTGACCATTTAGACATTATTTGCAACAAATATTTTAACATCTGCAGTGCCTTCTGCATCTTCCTCCTTTATCTTCATCTACCCTCCTCCACAGCTTTCTCACCAAGCAGAAATCAGTTTCCTCCCTTACACCAAGTTGGCATGGAATTGGATAGGGCTTGAGTGAGGGGATCCTCTCAGTTACAAAATGAATGTTGAGCACCTGTCATGCGCCAGGCTCTGGGGACAAGGCAGGGCTGAGTTGGGTCTGCTGTGGAAAGGTTGGTATGGTTGGAAAGCCCTCCTTGTGTTGTAATTCCCAAATAAGGGGCCACACGGGATCCAGAGAACGGTCCACGGTAGCCCTGAGAATGGACTATGAGCCAGGACTGGACCTCCTCTCATGCAGGGTAATGGAGGTCACCCTGATGTGCCCTGGCCCCCTGGCACTTTACCCGGTTCTCTGAGGGATGCGGGGAGAGGGGAGCATGAAGGAGGGAGGGAGGGAGGGAGAAAGCCTGCTGGTGTGCTTCATTTGGCAGAGGAAGAAAATTTGCTCTCTCAAAATGTCTTTCCCAAGATCAGACAGGAGAGCTAGGACTCCTCATGCCCAGGTTTTGCCAAGATATCCCTAGAGATTTTAACTAAAATTTTAGAAGTGTGCATTTACTTTTTTAAATATGTTACAATATACATAAAATTTACTATTTTAACTATTTTTAAGTGTACTATTCAGTGGCGTTTAGTACATTCACGATTTTGTACACCCATCACCACTATCTATTTCCAGAACTTTTTCGTCATCCCAACAGAAACGCTGTACCCACTAAACAACTCCCCATTCTCCCCTCCCCCCAGCCCCTGGTAACCCCTAATCTGCTTTTCTCTATGAATTTGCCTATTCTAAGGCCTCATATAAGTGGAATCATACAATATTTGTCTTTTTGTGTCTGCTTATTTCATTTGGCATAATGTCTTTAAGGTCCATCCATGTTGTAGCATGTATCAGAATTTCATTCCTTTTCATGGCTGAATAATATTCCACTGTATGTATAGGCCACATTTTGTTTATCCATTCATTTCTCAAAGGACACTTGGGTTGCTTCCGCTTTTTGGCTGTTGTGAATAACGCTGCTATCAACATGAGTATGCAAATCTCTCTTCAAGACCCTGCTTTCAACTCTTTGGGGTATAGACCTAGAAGTGGAATTGCTGGATCATATGGTAATTCTATTTTTAACTTTTGAGGAAGTGCCAGGTGCATTTACTTTTTTGGTATAGTGCTTTAAGAGTTTAAAGGGTTCTCACCTGTATCTGCTCCGTGTAACCCTCACAGCATCCTTTGAAGCTTTATCATCCCCTTTTAAAACAGGTGAGACAATTGGGGCTTAGCTTCTTCAAGGTCACCCAGTTTGTATCACAAGCAAGACTAGGATCTGGGTCTCCTGACTCCGGAGCAGAGCTGCTCGCTCGACACTGTGCTGCCTCCCCTGGTGGCTCAGCTCCATGATGCCAGGTCACCACTCAAGCAGATGCTCTTTCCCTAAGCGCTTTGTCCTCTGTAAACACAGGCACAGAACAGAGACGGGGGCAGACTGCAACAGGTGTTTGAGATGACCCAGCCCAACTCTCTGCTTCACAGATGAGAAGACTGAGGCCCACAGTGGGGAAGTGACGGACCTGCCCGAGGTCATGCAGGCAGTGACAGAGCCCAGACGTCTCCAGTCTTCTGGCTTAGCTCCCTGCCCTCCCCACCCCCAGCCTGCTGGGGTCATCCTTCCGTGGTGTTCCTTCCCTTCTAAAGGAGACGGTTGCTGAGAGGAATCCAGTTATTTAAAACTAAGCCTATTGACCCTGAGCACCTGGTCAGGCCATGCCTAAAATAACCTGCTAAGTCAGACAGGATGAAAGGGGCTGCTGTCTGCTGGGAGGGGACAGGCCCTGCGTGGGCCTGGGGGCGTCAGCACAGTTGCTCGTGCCCCACGTGCTGGAGGAGAGAGGGGAACCCTCCTTTCTCCACCTACCTGAAGCGCCTCCTAGAAACTGAGCGTCTCTTTTATGCAGGCTACACCTGGGAGCCTTTAAGGCCCCACAACACTCGTTCGGAGGGCCAAGTGTTACCTGAAGGGCGAGGTCGTTCGCTGTGTCAGTGACTCCTCCCCGAAGAGGAGACCTGTCTGTGGGAATAAGGAGGGCAGACTCGGGGACTCTCTAGCACAAAGAGGCTTTGCAATGTCATGGGATGAGCGTAGCTTTGGAGTCCGAGCTGAAATCTCAGCCCAACGGTGCCACTTACTAGCTGGGGGAATTTATGTGTGCCAAACCCTGGTTCCGTCACCTGTAAAGTAGGGACAGCCCCAGCATCCACTCAGACACCCGTTGTGAGGATTAAATGAGACGAGCCCGGGGGGCTGGCCCATAGTAAGCACAGGTAAATGCATTACTAATGTTATTGGCTTGGCTCAGAGGACCTTGACCTGTAGGGGTGGGGGAGGGAATAGCTCTGTGAGGGCTGTTGGGATGACATCCTGCACTCCATGCAGTGACAAAGCCAGAGCGAAGGAGTTGGGAATCCAGGGAAGACACCACGGAAACATGGAAGGAAGGTGCACTTGAAGCTGGAAGAGCGTGGGGAGATCGTCAGCAAGGAGGGACCTGAAAATAGACAGTCCTTATGCTTTTTGTATTTTCCATTTCCTAGGTTTCGTCCCTCCTTAGCATTAAGGAAAATATCTGAAAATGACAGTCAACTCAGATGTATTCAGAAGTCCTCTCTTCACTGGAGTGGTACGAGGAGAGCTAGCCTGGCAAAGTCAGCAGGAATCCTAGCAAGGGAACCCCAAGAGAAAAGTGAACCTAGGGGGAGAAGAGTGGGCAGCTTGTCCACGCACACCCCCCCAAACCCGGTGCCCTCCTCCCACAGCTGACATTTTGGAGGGGCTATCTTTTTATTTTGATGAAAGGGACAATTCCTTCCTAGTCCCAGATTGGATGGAAGCCCTCACACCCACACACAAATACATGCACACTGGAGTGAGGACAAACAGTTGCCCAGGCAAACATTCGTGTGTGCAGGGAAACACAAATACTTAATGAAGGCACACCTGTGCTCAGATGCAATTTGAATATAATCCAAAAATTCTGCATTGGCATCCGTGGACATGCCCTCATATTTTTTTTTTTAAAGCCTCAAAATTGTGGGATTCATTTCTCATAGGGACACACCATCCGTTTAAAAGCAGTGATTAATGTCAACGTGTGGTGGCAGCTGACCGCTGGGTGATGACGTAGCTGGTGTGTCTGTGTGTCTGTGTCTGTGTGTGTGTGTGTTTCACAGAGGCTGGTTGAAGCAGCCATACGAAGCCCCAGAGAGGGGAATCCTCTCCAATTCAGGTTAATCATGGATATTTGGGGGTATTATTTTGCCATGTTATATTAGGACTAGAGCCATCATGAGAAACAACAGAGGTTTTTATTGTTAAACAACAGCTTATATATTTTGGATACTTTTCTTCAAAAACAAAGGCATGTCATTATTTGAGCAAAGCCTTCCTATGTGCTCTGAGATTCTTTAGCAACTTTGCTATAAATATAGTTTTCGTAAAAGGAATCAATAGTGAACAGGTCAATGTTAAAAACTTGACATTTGGGGTTATATAGCTAATTTGGGATTGACCTTCTTAGTACTTAGGCATCGATTGGAGGAGAAAAAGCAAGTATGGATTTCCCTACCTTTTTTTTTCCATTTGTAATTGATTTTAATGTTATAGAAACAGTCTTAGACCACAAGTCAGAAATCCTGGGTTCTAGTCTCATCTTTGCCGCCTTAGCCGGCTGTGTGACCTTGGACAAGTCACTTTACCTTTCTGGGCCTCAGTTTCCTCACCAGTAAAATGAGAGAGTTGAGCTAGAATGACCACCAAGGTCCCTTCCTAACGCCAGAGATGAGTTGAGCACAAATATGCACACGTCCTAGTCCTACCCCGTGTCGGGGTCGGGGTATGTCTGTATCCACAGAACTACGCATATTCCCTAAGGCAGGCAAAGAAGCAGAAATACAAATTTTCATGCGCAGATACTCAGAAACAAACAAACACAAAAAAACTCAGGTTGTGCTTCAAATGTGTGGGCCTTTATCTAAAACACTTCCATCTTCTTGAGATGCGGTGAATCGTTGGAATTCGTAGACCTTGATGCCTATATAAAAAGGTCGTATGTGTCACGAAATTACCCCAGCGCTCCTCAAACCAGAATTCTACGTGCTTAGCTCAGAGGATGTCTAGGTAGGTTTGTTTCCCCACTTATCCTCTCAGCTTACGGATTGTAGCATCAGGGCTCTGAGCTCACTGGAACAGAGGGCTCTGAGGCTCCTCCCCAGTGGATGGGGCCTCTGGGTCCCATGGCCCTTGTTCAGGCCACTGTCTCCTGACGGCCGACCAGGGCCTATAGGAGCCTCAGCAAGGCTGGAGTCCCCTCAATAACGCGTGGCCTCTCCCACGGTTCTCTCTCAGCTCACAACTCTGAAACTGGCTGAGAAGCCACCCCAGAGAGGTCC